GACTGCTGACATTTACTTACTGATGATTAGAGCAACAAGGATCAAGAACTTTGTCAATAGAGGACATAACGTTTAATTCGTCTTCGGGAATACAATTAGATATTGCTTCGGGCCTTTGGGTCGTCAGCTTCTAAGTTACGCGTTTTAATACTAACGTTTGACTTGCTAAAAACAATACTTACTGACAAACATTTTCATACAGTTACTTTCATTTCTTTGTGTGGTGAGTGAAAGAGTTCACAACAGAGTTTTGAAAGGAAAGAAGAAACTGAAAGAACAAGAGATACAATCACAGAGAAGATAAAGAAAATGGAAAATAATTATAAACTTAGCACGACAGACATTTGAAATTTAGAAGGAAAATAAAAAACAAACAAACTAATATAATGTAAAAGAGAAAATTAGATATTTAGGGGTCAAGTGGTGATACTTGCCTCAGCATGTTATAAAAGGTTGACCCTTATTATTCTTAGGTTTGGGTCATATGAAATAGCTTTTAGGTGCACAACCTTAAACACCTGCTGCAGGGATTTGATTATTAATCCTTGTTGTATTTATTGCTTGAATTGATGTAACATATGCATAGTATCTTACTATGCCTGTCAAAGCATTGTAGGAATCTTCCTAAATACGCTTCTACTTGTAAATATAAGAAAGTGTAAGTAACTTGAGGCCAGTAACTTGCAACTTCACTGCAGTTACGTGTCAACTATGGGGCACATATGCTTATTAACCAGTGCATGACATCAACACATAATCAGATCAAAGTTATTCATTAAAATTAAAGTTAAGCCTTGTATGTTAATCATAGGCTTTCGTCACTGCTGCTGTCAGTAGCGGCAGAAAGCTGTACCACAAATTTAACTTAACCACACTTGGCAGGATAGCTTGGGTTTTTGCAGCCAATATATTGTATCCTGTTTTTCAGGTGCAGGAGATACCTTCTGCTAGGTCTTGAGGCCACAGAGGCTGTCATGATTATTGGAACTAACTTACCTCTTTCTATAGTCCACCCATAGGTCTGTAGTGAAGTGATCTTGGTCTCAACGACATGTGTAGTTTTGTCGATGATGGCAGCAACTGCAGCTCACTTAAGATGAAGACCAAATACATCTTCTGTTGATGGCGCATACTTAACTTAATCACCGTAGTGTTACTGTTCAAACACTGCGTGCTCTGAAATCTTTACAGCTAGATAAAAGATGATTCTACTTCTTCTGTAGAATATATTGAAGAGAACAGTTTCCTTGCTTGCTTGGTGAGGTCTGTGATAACTGTAAAGTCATTTCCAGCAAAATGTGCCATATGATACAGCTTTATCATCTTGCTTTTCTGGAGCTGTAATTTATTTCCTCTATCACTTAGAATGTGAATAAAGAGAGAGCATGGTTTATCTCGTGTGTTGGTAAGTAATTGTCCTTTTAAGTTCTGACCCGTAGTTCTTTAAGACCTAACTCTCATTAGTAAGAAATGGTGAATACTGTTACGTCTGTATCGTTAGCGTGAATTACCATGCACTTAACATAATCAATTTCATGCAATATTATGAGAGGGCCGGTTTCTTCTTGTCTGGACTATAGATCTGGAATTTCAATAGCAGATCCATTCATAAGCAGGAGACAATTTGTTGCATCATGAAAAACCACGAGTCAAGTATCGTTTCATGAAACCAGGTTGCGGATTCTTCACTTCATCATTTACTCACTGTTTAAAAAGGTAGTGAACTAAGGCAGCTTTGTTCTCAAACATATTGATGAACCCCTTTGGGTCAAGAGCTCAATATCGATCACTGACCTCATAAATCTTGCTATTCTCTGGTACTCTGTGAGAACGCTCATCTGACCTGAGAGGGAAGAGTGTTACATAAGTATCTTGTGGCAAGTGATCCAGAATTAAACTTCTCTATTGACTTCTTATCTCAGAAAAGGGTATCTCTTACTGGAATGACAGTCGCTGCAAGTTATACGTTGCATCAATAAGAACAGCTGTTTTGAGTCGTATACTTGGAATATTTTTTTCAGGGTAATCTTTGTTCCAGGAATCCTCATATGTCCATGTAACTGCTTCACTGCTTTTCCCTGTTGCACTTGATTGCTTCTAAGTGGACTGTTAGTCTTTTTCCTGTACTAGGTCCAACTACCTTGTTTATTTTACATCTTGCAAAATTCTTAACATGTGTATTCACTGTGAAATGTGTTCTAATAATATGAAATAACATAAAGTAATGACATAAATAAATTATTATGTAGCATTGATATTGTACATGGACAACAAAACATGCCATTCCACCACTTTACTAGGAATGTCCTGCTATATAGAGTTACCAACTTTCATCTTTTCCTATGGTCTTCGTGCAGCTTATTTGTCAGTTTGTGCGCCCAGAAGTTAATGTAGGATAACCATAGGGTCAGTTTTCACCTATAAATTGGGCTTGGGCCCCTGAGTAACACTTTAATAAAATATCAGGGGAGATAGCAGATGGAAGGGACATTAGATAGCAGAAAAACAAGGAACCAAAATTTACAAATTCACAAAATTTACAGGAATAAACTAATAAACTAATCATATTTTGAGATAAATAAGTTGACAAATGGATGGAGAAGGTCTAACTTGACACATGTTAACAAATAGCTCAGGTTTTTTTCCCCTTCAAAATAATAAGAACTTGAAGTTATGCAATCTTGGCAAACGTTCATATTTATACGTAATAGCTCTAAAGTACAAGAAAGCTAACTTATAGATAAGAAATAAGAGCAACTAATGTCTCATTAATTTCATTTGGAAGAGCATAAGTTATAATATACAAACACGAAACGGTTACTTTTTAAATGATCTAAATAGCCAGAAAAAAATAAAAATCACAGATAATACACAATTTATCGCATTTAGGCTCTGTGAGGTGTTTGAATGTTAGCAGTATTTGCATATGTATATATATCACTCTGATGAATCTAAATTAATATTATAAAGCAGATGATCGGTATTCAATCGCATATCAAAACTAGAGGGGCATTCAGTACGGTACGCAGCGTTTATCATAATCGGCTCTCAAAAAATACGAAAATGTGTCCATATGTCCGTCGTTATCAACGGACACAAGCCATTTTTAGCAGGACAATAAAGATTAATATTATACATATGTCCACAAAGTTTAATCAAAATTCGATCATTTTTGACTGAGTTGTAGAGCAAAAATAGTGTGAAAAATCGGTTCCCATGTTAACAGATAGAGATTTTTTGGATTTCTGTGCCCTTGATATTTTACCTCGACCCTTCAAAACTAATCACTTCTAGGTTGGGTCATACTCCAGATATATACCAACTTTCGTCCAAATCCATTCAACCGTTTTTGAGAAATCTTGCTGAGAAACACACAAACACACACATGGGAGTGAAAACATAACCTCCGTCCACCTTCTGTGGCAGAAGTAATAAAAATCTCTAAAGGCCTGATACAAACTACCAACAGGAGTGAAAACATAACCTCCGTCCACCGTCAGTGGCAGAAGTAATAAAAATCTCTAAAGGCCTGATACAAACTAACAACAGGAGTAAAAACATAACATCCGTCCACCTTCAGTGGCAGAAGTAACAAAAAGCTCTAAAGGCCTGATACAAAGGCATGATAATCCTCTTACATGAGAACTTTAAATTAGTATAAATTAGCAAATATTTTAAACTACTTATGTCATAACAAGTTCAGTAATATATTTATGTTTATATGAATTCCGTAGTAAATTGTATTGTTTTTGTAAAGATACACTTCGCAAACTTTTTGTGAATGCTCGATTTTCGGAAGTTGTTCAAGTGTTAATAAACTCTACTTGCAGCAATCATAACTATGCAAACTTACGTAACTTTCAGAATTCCCTTTTCGAAACCATTCGAGGAACAGCACAATATCCAGGCTATAGCGTAATGAGTACAGAGGAAACGCAACATAAAGGGTTTTCATGCTTTTCAAATCGCCCTGCCAATTAATTATCCAGAAGTGATTAAAAAAGCAATATTCGCTTCGTCTTAATTAGTCAGAAGCTTAGCAAAGATCATAGAAATAATCTCCGGTATCTAAACTTTTCAAAATGGAAGTGGGCACGGCAAAATATGAGATTTCTGTGTTCTTTCAAACATAAATTTATTAAATAGCACAAACCAACTAGCATGCGACGCGAATGACAACAAATTCAAATCACAAGGTATTAGTTTTTCCTAATCTTTCTCTTTTCTTGACAAGAAGAAAATTATGGATTAGTCATTAGAATGGTAAGTTTAGAAGTTTGAGTTAAAATTCAGTTATGAATAAGCCCAAGTCTCACAGTTTATACATAACACTAAAATTCGGGTTTTGTAAACCCGGTGAACAGAGTACATATAGCTCATTACGTAGGTTTTGTGATTAATAACAAACAAACAAACGAAACAAAAGGATCTGTAATATTTTTTTTCTCAAAATCTTCTAAAGAAGAGAAATATGGCAAATAAAATTTTCAAATTATTCCCAGGCTCTAGTTGTTTCCCATCATAAAATTTAAGAATGAGGTAAAGAAAAAAAAAAGGAATTTTCAGCTATTGATCTGAATTTAATGATTTGATTTAATAGTGATACATATGTATCGTAGGCTTTGGTTGAAATAAAGTTTTAATATATATATATGTATATATCTTTTATTATTGATAAACGAGAAATTTGCCATGCAAGTATGTCTTATTTCGCAGCCAGTAACTGTAAATTCAAAACAGTAACACCACTTTGCTTAGAAAGATTGATTTATATAATCTATAATTATAAAGACAAACCATAGAAAAAAATCTTTAATTTAACTTGACATGTTTCTTTTTTCTAAATATTTTACAAGTACAAAGAAGAACTATTAATGATTAGTTTAGATATAATTTATAACAGTAAATGTCACCTCTAAACAGAACTCAAAAATGTAAAAAAATGTGTAATTCCTGAATTAGGATCTAATATTACTAAAATAAAAATATATTTAAGGTTTTATTTTTCATTAAAGAGAAGTAACTGATCAGCTCAAAGTTTCGAGTTGATCAAGTTGTAGAACAAAGAAAATTTTTAATCAATATAAGGTCGAAACGTTAAAGACAGAAATACCGTTACGTAATTTCTTGTATCAATATGTCAATGTTGGCTACAAGGTGGCGACACTATTTATTATTTAAATCGGACCTATGAAAATATTAATGGAATAAGTTTGCGGCTTCTAATGAGCGTCGTATTTTTACAGTTGTTACTAGCATAATACCTAATGAACAGCTCGTTTGAATTGTTTAGCATTATGTTTTTATTGGTTTTATCATATACTAACAGTTAAAGCCCATTTTGAATATTTTATTACACCCATACGAAAAGCTGCAAGTTTAAGGTATAAACTGTTACATATGATTAACTAAAATAAATCACACGCCCATAATTAAATCAAGTAGTTCTTTGAAATGTTCCTCGGAACATACAGACAAAAAATTGCAATGTAATAACTTAATAGTTATACCCCTTGAAAAAAGCACACTCATATGTGAAAATTATTAATTGTTCTAGCTTCATTTGCCAATGTAGCAATTGCATCAAATACAGAAGTGTATTATAATAATATTATTATTATCTTACATGTCGTCCTAAATTTCGCTGTGCAAAAGCGTGTATTTTTACAGTAAATATATATAAAAGTAATTCATTAAAGCGATTTCTTAAAAAAATGAAACAGAAATGTGTCTATTAATTATTTGAATTTGCTCTAGCGGTGCTCCTTGTAGATGTAGATGATGAAGGCATTTTAGCTCTTCCTTGGGGCAGTCTCTTGCTAGAATAATGACTACCAGGAGGCACTCTTGTTCCCAACCTGCTTTCACGCTTCCCTTTATTTTTCTCACCCCGAGATGACGCTGCTGCTGATGTTCCGGCAGGCATGTCAGAAGATGGGATGAATCCTGTGGCGTTATAATAATCCAATATAGCACGACAAATACTCTCACCTAGACGCAAGTCTGGATCATTTTAGATAAGGAAGAAACTACTTTTATGTCGATAAAGAATTATGAAAGTCGATGATTCAATAGAAGAACCTTGCCTAGGACAAAGAATCGGGAGAGAAAACAGCAACAGATAAAAAAAATGTTTACATATTCTTCTATTTAAAATAACGGACAAGTTTAAAATAAATAACAAAGAAACTATTAAAAAGTCACTCCTAAACCATGACTTTATCTAGTCTACATTCGAAAAATACCTCTCTTTTTATTTCTGATCCCTGAAGTGTCGTAGGTGCACATGTTATTGACATGTTTGAAGTTTCGGAAAACACATTTAAGCTGTCCTGAATTACTTTCAAACAAAACAATACACTAACAGTAACACCAGTGAGTTAACAACCTTTAATAGTTAGTAGTAAATGTTACTTAGTGATCATTTCTATATGTTCTGAAATAACATGAGAAAGTACGTTTTAATAATTAATACAATAAAAAGGAATACAAAAAAATAATAAATGAAAAGCACATTTTTCATCCGATTATATACACAAACCCATGCATATATAATTATCTAGTACGATTTCTTTGTTATTGAAATTGAATTGTATACATGATTAAGAATTATGGATAATAATACAATGGTAAATACCAGTTGTAAATCTTTCATACATGTAGTTTGTATAGTTTAGACTTACTGTAAACCAACTACGAGTCTGAAAGCTACTGATCAATGTTTGATTTGTTTGTCCACGTAAGGTTTGTGCTATTGATTGTTCATTATTACTATTTCCAATTCATTTGAAAATTTAGCTTTTACAACCCAAGTACCTAAGTTAAGAACTGATAGAACACAGTGGTCCTATTTGTAGGAGCATAAAGGGATAGTACAGTCGAATAAACATTTTTTAACACAAATTATCCAAGAAGTAAATATCCTGTATAATTAAAATCCTTCTAGTGTTTCTACAGCGCCAAAAAGAGTGGCTCAGTGTTTAGCATGCACGGACTGTGAATCCAAGTGTTCGTTGTTCACGTTTCTTTGCCACAAAAATACGCTCCGAATTTAGGAGGAGGTGGCTGCACTACAGGAGAAATGATCAGACAAGAATGGCACAATAATTGATAGTGACAGCTGTTGATTGGTTGCCTTCCATCTAGTCTGTTAATTGAAAATTAGCGACGGCTAGCGCAGATAGCTCTTTGTGTAGTCTTACGCGAATATTCTGAAACAAACAAACAGACAAACAATCACAACTCAAATAATATCCATTACATTAGGCTCAAAGAGTTTCACATACAGTATGTACAAGTATCCATTTTGATGGTTGTAATTAGAAATCTCATCTCAACTTTTCTATCATAAAATATTTTAAAGCAAACTATAGGCCAGCTTTAGTGGTTGTTATTTTACCAGTTTTTATTCGAATAACGAAACACATTGTTATGAGGTATTTTTATATATATTTCATTAAAGGTAACGATGTAATTTTAATTTTTTTATTTAAACAACGAATGCCTTGCGATGAAGCATTGATGTATGTATATATATATATGTGTGTGTGTGTGTGTGTGTTGTTAATGGTGAGCACGTGACAAATTTATAGTAATCCGATACTCTTCTGTCCTGACATTAAAATCAAAACTTACAATTAAAGAAGACTACACTGATCACACCATTTTTGTTATGTAGATCAAGAACGAAACTAGATTACACCTGCCAATTCTATATTAAGTAACAAACAAGGGACATCAAAAAACAGTTACAGTTTTCAGTGTAACATAAATAACGGATACTGGGGTTCGATTAATAAAGAAAGAAGTTAAATTATTCTGTTGCTTTTTTTCCTTTCGTACTGTAACGACTACACGAGAGTTTACGATAAACGACAGTGCAACAATTCCACTTGTGTGCACTTCAAAACCAATTATAGTATTAATACTCCTAGTTTGTTTGTTTGAATTTCGCGCAAAGCTACACGAGGGCTATCTGCGCTAGCCGTCCCTAATTTAGCAGTGTAAGA